GTTATCAATTTTCTAGAGCTGCTCAGACACCACGCAACATTTTGGCGCCTAATTCCGGCAGCAACAGCATGGTTTTTTTTTTGTTTCTTTATAGTTTTTATCAATTTAGTCAAGTGACGCCTACTTGCCGCTGCCCACACTTTAGCTTGTGGCCCGTGGTCAATATCTAGACCGAGACTACGCCCCCGCCTGCTCGGGGCGTGGGGCTTGGCGCGTGCGAAGGCGCAAAAATTCATTTGCATAATTGAAATTTTTGTCTTCTCTCGTGTGGGAGAATCTTTTGTGTTGATTGTTAATCTGGTTTTCGGCTGCCTCTGAAACGAATGTTGACAATTTTTATGTGTATTTCAATTGTGTTTTTCCATTTTCTTTTCCATTTCGTGCAGTTTCACTTTTCATATGCAGCTCGGGAGGCGCATTGTCTTAAGAGCATTTCCCACAGCGTCTATACATACATATGTATATAGCCTTATTTGATCATTATTATGGGAATTGTGCAGTTCGTGTCCATAATTAATGAGCTAAGCTGCCTAATGAGATCCATGCATACGTGCTCGGAAAACCAACTAATTTGATGCGCACACGTTCACATATGGACACGTTAACAAATTTGCCAGCGAGAGCTGCTTGCAGTTAATAATGCACAGGTGGGAAGCTCTTTGCCTGAGTTATGTGAAAAACTAATGTTTGCTATGGGGATTCTTTTAAATGAATACCTATTAGAATACTTAATATTGCTTGAGTAAGATAATCAGTTATCTTAATAATCTATTGTTGAATTACTTGGTGTATTGGTATAATATTTATATCTAAAGTTGTATTCTCTTAATTTATATTATATTGCACCAACTACTAGATAAAAATATTCTTTTTATAAGCTCATTAGCTACATGAATCTTAAAACTTTAAATTTTATATAACTGCAGCATCTAGTCTTATTTTTATATAATCTGAAACATTGTTTAAGCGCTACCAAATAAAAGTTTAGAAAAGAATAAATTGCTTGACTAGAAAATTCCATTCTGCCATTCCACTCGTTCGACGCTTCTTCTTTGTTATACAGACAGAACAAACAACACATAGACACACATACATACACACATACACGCCCACGCATAAGCACACGCTTTGCTTGAGTGAGTTTTAGCTGCGCTTGAGCTAAGCTAATGGGACTCACTAAGAGAAATTAATGGTTGAACGACTTTTGCTCTAATTCTAGTTAT